AATCCATTTCGTTCACACGGGGTCGAGTGATGATGATGAAGAAGGCGTCCGGTTTGAGGACCAAATTTGGAGTGATGAATAGTGGAGAGGGCGCGTGTTCCACTTCGCAAATCTTGCACGACAGATGAGCGTGAACTGCGAGTGGACACCAAACACTTCGACTGATAGCAGCATCACCCTCGAGGAACACATCGCTCCATCCCGATCTGGAGACGCCTTCCATCGTGCGACTCCTACTGCAGTGCCTAGACTTCCGCACGTCTACACTTCATCGGTCACAACCTCCAATAACTTTTCACGCTCAGTGTCTATTGCTTGAGGAGTGAGGCATTGACCAGCACTCTTTTCCTGCTCCTTCGCACTCCATCCACCGTCTGCGGCCACACTCATAGCCAGTAGATAGTAGTAGCACAATTGCACAGTCAGCAGCTCTATGCACCTGAGCGCAAACCACTGTGAGGAGGACATCGTGGCAAAGAATGCCATTATATGGACCAATGGGGCTAAACAACAGGTTGTTCAGAGCAAACAAAATAGGCGATGTGGTGGATCTCACAAGAAGCATTCCACGTGGAATAACAACGCCGCCGTAGTTGTCAGTGTGGTCACGTCTACCTCATTTTTTCCGTTTCAGAAATGACTAAAGTGGTGTGCACACGGTCATTGAGACGAGATATAAGGTCTATAATTTGAACAAGCGATGTGTGGATGCCTCTGCCTCGGCATTAGTGTAGTTTGCGTTGGTGCAAAGCAACAGATATAGGATGGCATTTTAGTCGGTTTGGCCAGACAAATGGAATTATGATATTCTGTCCAGGGCAAGGCTTATGCGTACTGCTGTGCCAACAACACAATCCTCTCAGTTATGGAGCAACCAAAATTGAGGAAAGAAGGCTATTTGGCAGGCTGTCAAGCTGATTGCTCTGTAAGCAATGTCATGCCCGTAATCAGTCACATGTAGACATCATTTGGGAGGGCTAGATTGGGCGCAACTCAGTAATGAGGTCAATGCACACCTTCACGAGACACCGAAATCAGGTAGTGGAGCTAAAAGCAAGTGCTAGAACGCTCCATGGCGATCGGAATCACTCGCAAAGCAGCAGTGAATCGAACCAGCACAAACGGTTTGAAGGAGCCTTGGCAAGTCGTTCTCAGCTGCACACAGGAAAAGATGAACATTGAAATGTACTGTAGTTCGTTCAGAGGAATGCGCTATGATCTGCGTATTGTAACCCTTTTGTGCACATCCGATGACTTCGCTCTGCACCTTGCATAAGCCAGTCTCACTAGCAGGATTGCCTGGAGTGATGGATGAAGTATTTAGACGGTCGGGAGTGATTG